GATTTCCCTGCAGCTCGTTTCCCTAATTTAATTAACGCTCTATTTAAACCTGTGTGACCAAAGTAGAATCTTGATCTGATTATTTCCTCCTTTCTATTCCTGCCTGTTTTCCTCAAAATGCCAACTTTTCTTTGAATACTATTCCACCATCTTCCAGTTCTTTCTTCTTCCCACTAATTCTGCCATCTTGAAGATGACCTTGAGCTTAATTACTGATTTAATTTCACCTTTACTAAATGGTTCTATTATATCAATCTGACTGCTTTTAGTAGCTTGTTCTGCATATTTATCAGCATCTCATTCCCTTTTATTCCTATATGAGAAATAATCCAGGTGAAACTATTAATCCCATTAAGTCTGATGAATTTCTGAGGGATTGCTGAAGAGTCAATGAGTCGATGCAATCAACTGGTTTTCCTAAGATAGAAAACTTAACTGGATGATCTGGTGAACTGTAAAGTGCCTTGAGATGACACGTGTAGTGAATTGGCGCTATATAAATAAAGTGAATTGAAATTGGATTTAATTTATATACCCGATAAATAAGTCTGTATAATGCTGCTAATGAGGACAGATGAGCTCTAGAGGCCCGAGATGGATTGTGAGGTGAAATGGTAGCACTCATCAAGATAACTTTCTGATTATAAAGGACATTTATAAATGGTCCGAGAATCCTCTGCCTTATATTTAATTCTCTGTTCATTCTTTAATCAGACGGACCATAGTTTTATTTCTAACACCTAATGTGTCTAACAGAGCTAACAACTGATTTTTCCCACAAAACTACGGCAGAACTCTGCTGATTAAATCAGGAAATTAAACGTGACCCGCAGGGGGAGAATGTTACTACAGCATCAGAAACATAACTCAGAGTTTCCCTGATTTTTGGTTTAGAAAACTTTGCTTGCTTATTGAACCAGAGCTCAAACGGAGCGTTTGGTATCGGCCTCCGAGAGGCAGAGCCAGTCCAATGGTACAACCAATACTTGGAGGCACTTTCACGTTTAACAACTTCCTGTTTTTGAATCTAAAATGGTCAAAGAAGCTGTTAAAATTTAAGGTGACTTATGAACACTAAAGAGACCTAGAATAAAAGAACATGACCATTTTCTGAACAAAATTCTGGAAATAAAATAGTCAATTTGTTTATTTTATGCTGGACAATTGTTTTAAACATCTTAAGCAGGATTTTTTTTTTTTAATAAAAGAAAAAAAAAATCTTTATTTAGGCTAGAGTAGCCCTGTTTAACAGTTTGAAGATTATTTTAAGTTGAAATAAATGTGATGAAATGGAGCTTCTATTTCTTTCATTTATGGTTTCCTCACTGCTCGCACTATAGACAACCACCTCCAAAGCAAATAAATACTGTTTATTGTTGTCAAGTTTTTTATATATATACATTTATGAACACATTTAAATCAAATATAGTTAACCGAAATACAAAATGAATAAATAAAGCATCCACAGTTCTGCTTAGACTTGCTATTATCTCACTCCAAATCCTCCCTCTGTAAATCTTCAACCTGTTGTTGTTCAAGGAGTTCATGAAAGAAAGCAGCTACTGACTTCCAATTCACCCTTTGAAAAAAAATCTGCACTATCCTTATAAAAAGCAAGCACTTATAAATTCACTACCACCTGTAGACGTTTAACAGGTTAATATAGGAGAAAGACTTATTGAGAAACTAAACTCATCTGTTGTCCCACATGAACCAATGGAAACAGTTGGTGCAGCTACTTTAGAAGGGGGCAGGAATCCATGCTGGTTTGCAGCACGACTCATTTAATGATTTTGAGTTGTTTTTTGGCTCAGTCACCTTCAGCACAGCCCAGAAAACCTGAAATTAATCTGTGAGATTATCCTGTTTGTGACTGGAAACATTCACACGTGCTTTAGAGGAAAATAGAGACAGAGTTCAGCATGAGCTGTGGAGGCTGAATGGGCCCCAGAAACCACAGGGACACGGTGCTCCAGCAGAGACACGCAAACAAACAGCATTTTTTCTTCCTTTGGTCCAACAGTCTGAAGTAGTAACAGAACACGGCAGAATGGACAACACCACATAAACAATGAGCTGCTCTGTTTTGAGGACAATAAACTGTCAACATTGCAACAAAAAATGTAAAGCAAGTCATTTGTTCCTAAAAGAAGTGCATTTTTCTTAAATTGAGCAGCTATGTGAGACACTTTGCCAATGGAATTAGGGCTGAACGATTTTGGAAAATAATCTAATTGCAATTTTTTTT